TGTGTGTGTGTGTGTGTGTGTGTGTGTGTGTGTGTGTGTGTGTGTGTATGTCTGTGTGTGTGTGTTTTATTAAACATTAGGATACAAAATGAAATATCCTAAAATATGTTTTGTATTTATATGATTTCTAGTTTGTTTATTTATTTCCATGTATTTGCATCTAAATGACATTTTCTAAAACTGTACCCATAAGATTTTTGCAAAATGTGTAGTTGCATCACTCTAGGCACCTTTGGTTAAGACCCATCTCTCTTGATTTTTTACGTAAATATAATGTTATTTGAGCTAAATCTATGGGACCTGGACAATTAAGAAACTTTTTATTGTGTGCAACCATTCAGATGTGATTTCTGAATATACTTTTTTTTATAATCTTTCTAACAACTTTGCAATAGCTTAAAAATGTTATTCTTTTCGGCCGGGCACGGTGGCTCACGCCTGTAATCTCAGCACTTTGGGAGGCCGAGGCGGGTGGATCACGAGGTCAAGAGATCTAGACCATCATGGTCAACATGGTGAAACCCCGTCTCTACTAAAACTACAAAAAAATTAGCTGGGCATGGTGGCGCGTGCCTGTAATCCCAGCTACTCAGGAGGCTGAGGCAGGAGAATTGCCTGAACCCAGGAGGTGGAGGTTGTGGTGAGCCGAGATTGCGCCATTGCACTCCAGCCTGGGTAACAAGAGCGAAACTCCGTCGCAAAAAAAAAAAAAAAAAAATGTTATTCTTTTCAATTGTTTGAGGCTCAGAGAAGTGACAGAATCATGATTTGAACCCACATCTGTCTGACTTCAACACTAATTCTAGTAGCAGGGAGGAAAATACTGGAATACTAACAAGCCAGGAGAAAATGCTCTCCTAATATACCCATATATTTTGGTTCCATCTTGCTGCTCTGTACGTGTGTGTATATATATATATGCCCCCCCCAGACAGACAGACAGACACACACACACACACACACACACACACTCAAACAACTGTCAGCTTTTCTCTAAACACTGGATTCATTGCCAAGGTCAACTTTTCTCTAAAAGACAGGGTTCATTGCCAGGGCTCTATCAGCAACTATAATAGAAAAAGAATCATTTGTGACTCATAGCCTGAGTTAATATTGCAGCTGTATGTTGAGTCATTGATCAGTCATCGTGCTGCACTAGTAATATTCAAGTATTGACTTCAAGACTCTAAGGGGTAATAGCAGATGGAGAACAATTCCTTCAGCACATATCTTCCTCCTGCGTATAACATTAGTTGTAGTGAGAGAGAGTTCATGAGTTCAGGTACTAAGAAACACAGAAAAGTACCTGGCCTTAAGGCAGAATCTATACCTTGCAGATTTTCCATGTGTTTATTCATGCAAATACATTTCCTCTTGGATGCAAGATATTTGAGAGAGGATAAACACTATTGGCAGTCCATTTATTTCTCAGGAATTCTTGCCCATTCCACTGAGTGACTGAGAAACACATTCATTTTGAGGAGGCATCAATTTCGACAGATAAACACAGTATGTCCTTTGAGACTAGAGTTTATTTATCAAGAATTTCGGCAGGGTGTGGTGGTTTACGTCTGTAATCTCAAGACTTTGGGAGCCAGAGTAGAAGAATCACTTGAGGCCAGGAGTTTGAGATCAGCCTGGTCAACAGAGAGACCTCCCATCTCTACACAAAATTACAAAAAAATAGTTAGCTGGGCATGGTGGCATGTGCCTATAGTTACAGCTACTCCTCAGGCTGAGGTGAGAAGATTTCTTGAGCCTAAGAGAATGAGGCTACAATGAGCCATGATCATGCCACTGCACTCCAGCCTGGCTGACAGTGAGACCCTGTCTCAAAAAAAAAAAAAAAAAAAAAGAAAGAAAGAAAGAAAGAAAAAATGGGGAGTTGTCCTTTTTGAATTATTAGAAACATCTGATTAAGAAGCAAAGAAGAAATTACTTGTCAAATTAGGTCAACATTTTTCCTATTCTACTCCTAGGTCCTTATCTCTACTTTGTGTGTCAAAATTACCCCAGAGCTTTAAAAATATATGTACCCAGGCGCTATGCCCAAGGGTTCCAATTATTATATCCAAGTCATGGGAAGCTGTAGCTTGTTTGGTGAGGGGAAACTTCAGTATTTTGCAGGCAGAGCTGAGAACTACTCTAACAATCTTACCCACGAGTTCAAGGAGGTGAAATGTGGCTGTCACCCTTTACTTGAATACCCCTATAAGAGTGTTCTCTCCAAACCTTAAGCCTAGTCAGCCAGACTATAGCCACTTGCCTTCTTTCTAAGCTGCTCCTTGAGTTTCCTTTTCCCTGTATTTCCTTCCTGCCTCAGAGATCTTTTTCATTTGAAAAGAACCCACTCCAAAATCCCAGCCTAATGCTTGCTTTAGAGTTCTCCTTAGACTTGCACTAGCAAACTGTGTCAGGACTGAGGGTAGCAACGGAAGAAAAGATACATAAATAGATGCTGTTTGACCTCCCTTGTCCACCATCTTTCACCTCCAGATTCAGCTCTATTATTTGTAACTGGAACAGTGTTAGGAGGCTCACCATGTCTAGGATTTCCTGTAGATGTGAATAAATGTGAATGTGATCTTACCCATACTGAACGACTGGCACATGCATACTGGCTCCCTCCGTAGCTTCTTCCTAGGGTGTGGCATGGGGAAATCCCAGGCACAAAATAAAGAAGAGAAAATCTAGAGGTATCTGCTCTTCTTCCAGGAATAGGAGCCACAGTTGTAGGATTTGCCCTATGATCATCGTGGTGTGTTTCAGTTTGGACTCTCTCAAAAGCAGAGCTGGAGACAAGGCTTTGAGGGCAAATAGTTTCTTAGGGAGGTGAAGGAAGTTAAGGGAGTGGGTAAAAGAAAGAGGGAAGGGAAGGCTGCTCAAACAGAATGCATCATGTAGCCAGTTACCAAGTTGGACAATTGGGGCTGACCAAATGAAACTGTTAGACTTTCTGGCCTGTACTCCGTTTCATTGTGTTAAACAAAAACTTCTATTGGTCACATAAAATGATACAATTAAATAAATTCCAATTCTATTTCTTCATATTTATAATCACTGTGCTGTTATTGTCAATTTATAATCTAATGTTTACACTTTTTAAAAAAGATTAATACCACAGGGCTTGAATGCATGAACTGTGCCCTTAGTGAGCTCAAAGTATTTGGAACTTTTATGAACTTACTAATGATACAAAAACTTATTACTGAATTTGTGTGTGTCCAGAGCTCATGTGGTGTCTATTATAAGTATTGAAAAGCTGCTAATTTAATATACGCTAAATCTTAATGGTAACCACATCAATTGTTTAAAATATAGACTAACAAAATATTTTTTAGGGAGTAGTCCTTTATCACTGATGTTATTCAGGGTTACCAGATCACAGTGCTGGTAGAAAGTAGATTGCCTAGGCCATTTAGTCCATTTAATTGTTGTTTTCTAAATTGTCTTCAAATATACCCCCTCCCATTGTCTGCATTTGGAGAAGACTGAAATCAATGCCCCACTTTTACAACTCCACTGTCTCCTACACTTATCCCTGCCCCTCTCTGATTTTCTTTCAGAGCCAGGTACTAGAAAGCTGGTGTTAGGATTGGATTGTATTTTCAGGGAACCAGGTGTGAAGACCAATTCTGATGTGAAGCAGCCAGGCTGCCGGGTGGGGAGATGTTTCCCCTGCATCCAAATAATAGTTATAAGTGTTTTTCTTGTTTTTCCCCTTTAGAAACACATTATATACATAAAATAGGATCTGTAGCATTAAGCATAAAACTGTGCATTTACAAGGGCACAGTCAATGATCTTCCAAAACATGTTTTTCAATCTTAGAAAATCCATTCTTAATTCTAAACAAATACCACAGGCAAATTTTGGGAATGCAACTTCCATTAAACACTATCAGTGGTATGGGATAACAGAACAGAGTAGAAGTGATTAGACTTAAGTTTTACCCCCAGATATGCAGGGAACGGCTCTATCTGGACTTGGGCAAGCCAGTTGTCCTCTCTGGGCTTTTATGCTATATCTGTCTCTCTATCTCTCTTTCTCTTTCTCTGCTACTAATGGGGTTAAGAAGTCATATTGGCATAGTTCAGGATCAATTATTATGTCATAATTATTAGCATGACCTCAGCTGCTGCTGGCATTATTTGAGGGTCAATTGTGTGATTTCATTTGCTTTCCCTTTGGATTTTTCATTAGTATGTAACCATTTGAAGTTCCAGTTAATTGATATGTATAAAAATAAAAAACAACAGGGGAGTATACAAAGATACTCATTCACAATTCTTATGTATTCCATAAGATTGGAATACAGGAAGTACCTCTTTTGACCTACCTTTTGACTGGTGTTTACAGCACAGTCCAAGAATTATTTTAAACATCTTAAGAGGACATAGTCTTAAAGACATTTGGAAGCCCTTCCCTCAACTTGTATGCTATAGATACAAATACTATAAAAAATGTATTTTGTCTTTTTCTTTTAAAAAATTTCACCCAAATATCCTAGTAGGTAATGCTTTGTCTAATTTTTATTGTTTTCTCTGCATAATTTGAGGGGAAAAATATCTTTGAGATCCTTTATAGTTAAAGCTCATTACTAATTTGGGCAGATTTTTCTGGTAATGACTTGAAGCAGTAACATTGAATAATTTTTGCGAAACACATTCTAGTTTTTGTTTTATATCTCTAGACAGAGCTTATTCTATCTGTTCACCAAGTTTCACTATGCAGAA